TGGTCTCTGTCACAACTACTCAACTCTGCCATTGTGGCACAAAAGGAGCCACAGACAACAAGTAAATGACTCAATGTGGCTGTATCAATAAAACTTTATTTACAAAATCAGGCAGGGAGCCAGATTTGGCCTGCAGGGTTTAGTTTGCCAATGCTTGGCTATGAGACTGCAGGTGTATTGTGCAGCTAGCACACATGTCTACTTGTGTATGCATGCTTCCGGGTGTGTAAAATTTTAAAGTTGCAAACTCACCCAACCTCTCACCCAAACACAAGTCAGCAGGTGCGTGTGAAAGCTTAACTAAGTCCCGTAGGTGCCCCACTTATCTTCATGTGTGCACATGAAGATATATGTGCATATTTTAGGAAACAAGTGTGGATAAACTGGTGTGTGAGGACTTATGCCCTATTTCATCAACAAGTGTTTGTTCATGTGCATCTGATCCTGTGCAAACGTGTACTGTACCTGCCCCACGAGCATCTACCAGAACGTGTGTGTGCACATGTGGCTGCTGTGCACACATACCGGTCTCGGTCCATGCCCAGGCTCCTTGCTGTGTACGTGCGTGTCTGTGTGTCCCCATCTATGTCTTAGCACGTGGCCAGACTTTTCAACTGCACACATTCCTGTCTTCAGGCACACCCACATATCTGCTTGTGCACGAATGTGCACGTGCATTCATGCCCCTGCACAGATCTGCTTGCTCACGTGTCTTCCCATGTACCTGTGTACCCACACATGGGCCAACTGGCTCGTGTTTGCCTATGTGCACGTGTGTGCATGTGAGTGAGCGGGCAGCCACTTGCCTGGCAGGTTGTTGATGTAGCCGCCATCCATGAGGAGGTGCCCATCCTTCGGGTCGCACAGCGGGGGCAGGTAGCCCGAGAGCGTCATGCTGGCACGCACATATCGCCATAGGGAGCCTGCCCAGCGGGACACACAGACACAGACACGCACAGACACTCTCAGACACGCTCAGAGGCCCGGCCAGCCTGGTGGGCTCGCTGACCTGGCACGTTGTTGACGTAGCACCCGTCCACCAGCAGGTGCCCGTCCTTGGGGTCGCAGAGCGGGGGCAGGTAGGGGCAGTAGGAGGCGCTGGCCCGGACGTAGCGCCACACGCAGCCTGCAGGGACGGCGTGAGGGGGGTGAGGCGCCTGACTAGTCTCCCGGCCCCCACCCCTGAGGACAGACATACCTGGGACCTCTGGGGCGTTAGTGGGTGACGGTTAGTGCTCGGCAATCAGGTCAGGGCGGACGGTCACTCATGTTAACAGTGTCCCAGACGCTTGGCTGCCCTCCCTGCACCCCCTCCCCACACGGCCACAGTGGTTGTGTGGGGCCAGCCGGGGCACCCACCATCTTTGTGGACACGCATGGCCGAGGCAGTGATGTCTGTGGTCACATTGAAGTACGGCAGCCACAGGTCCTATGGGGACAGGGACCAAGGTGGGGGAGGAGTGGGGATGCCTGTGGGGAGGAGTGAGGGCTAGTGGGTGGTGGTGGGGAGGGCACACCTCAATCTGCTTGTCCTGGAAGACTCGGTGGATGCTGCGGTTGAAGGCCGACCCCGTGAACATGGACGTGACGGGGTACGTGAGGTCCAGCACAGGCTCCAGCACAGAAGTCATGCTCTAGGGGAAAGGAGGGCTGGCTGGGGTCAAAAGGAGTCACTTAGGGTCACTAACAAAGTAGTC